TATTGAATGGACAAATTGTTTGAACAATCTTTTATGGAAAAAAAAAGCACGCACAGTGTGTCGCACTTTTTGTACGAACTAGTTATAAAACAAAAATTTACCCTACCATATGCTGTACATTGAAATGCACGGTAAGTACTAAGCTAATCAACAAGCTCCTGAAGACTGCATAATAAACATAACTATTGAATCACGTTGATCGGTAAGTGTAACATTAAACGGACCTGTTACGTCGAGTCTTTAGAAAGTTCGTTTCATAAGCGCACTCTTGGCATTTCGTGGATGGTTTCTCCAACTCAGACTGCGTGACATCTCCCCAGCTTTGGTTTTCCCTTGATCTCATACAACACCTTTTGCAAGGTTTCAGCTTTTCTGCGACGTTTCTTAAGGCACAAATTAAGAAAAACTTGGTTGAACTCATTGGTACTATCATGCGCATTTCTAGCAATATCTTGCTTTACCTCAACATTTGGACAATAAAGTTCGATTCACACTTTCATGCGTGTCAGGTAACTTTCGCTTCTTACTCAATCATCGCTGCGTAGAACGGATGAACGGATAGAACAGGGCGACAAGTCCCCCCCCCCCCTTCCCCATTGGCAGAAGGGGTTGTTGTCATTTGTTTTCGAGTTTGTGGATCGACGCCGATGGTTTGGGTGAGTCCGTGGCTGAATGTATGTGTTTCTGATTATGATCGAATTCTTATAATTACGCTCTAAACAGGAGTCAAGTGTGTTCGAGGAATTCAGCGGATGTGGATTCGGCGAGAAGGGAGGTCTCACTTGGTGAGCCGCCCGCCAGGTAGGCTTACTTCTGCCTAGCAGGGAAGAGCCCGCCCGAGCAGTGCTAGCACCGCGAATTTGTCAGAGTCGCAGACGAGGAGTGAACCCTCTGTGCTGTCGCCGTTTTCGCGGTGGTGGCAGACGGTGTCGACACGTAGACCAGCTTGGCCAATCGATCTGCGTCCTCGCTTACAGGGATCCTGCTGTGTGCGGGGAACCTATTAAATATGACGGTCGACCACGGGGGACGTTGCTGTCCGGGCGAGCGGTTTTGTGTTGTCGAGCTTTGGAGATGATGAAGAGCTGTTCGGGAGTCTGAGTGTCGAAAAGGTGACTAGCGATGGCAGCGGAGACGCCGCCAGCTCACGGAGCGAATCTCAGCCGCCGCCACCTTCGTCTGCAGGGGACTCGATAAAGCTGCTGTATACACGGTCGGCTTCCAGGACCCCGGTCACCCGCTCTGTAGCATCCCGCACGGCCGGCAAACCTCACCGAGTGCCTCGACTCCCGGGCATCCTCCCCTTCATGTGTACGCAGGGGATTTAAGCTGACGTCCAGTTCGTGGCTCGCGATCAGCGGGAGTGCCATTTGTGTCACCTACCGCTGTTTGTTTCAAGCACAGTCGAGTCCGGTTGAGTGGTTTCAAAAGTTTGACGTGTGATTGTGCTGCGTGACGTCTAGATTTAGAGTTGGCTGCCACTTCATCGTAGGTTCGCCTCCAAGCTTTATTGGCGTCTCACGATCATTCGCGTGAAGTTTGATGAAAATTGATACGGTGTGTTGTTGCTGTTTTGTATCCTTGTTGGAACTGTTCATTCTCAGAAACAAAAAAAAGGCTGTACATGGGTGTATCGCGCACCCTTACACCCCCTCGCGACCGGAGACACCCGGCGAGCCTACTCGTACTCCTATAACGCGAAACCTTCTCTCCCAAAGGAGTCGGCGAACGAGGTGAGGGTGTTCCCAGGTGCACCATTACACCACCGCGCACAACGATCGGCTAGCAAGCCCGTGCCGTATCGATTGAATCCAGATGGATTTTTGGAAGGTTCCTTTTACTTCTCACATAATTAATAAAAAGTTGGCAACATATATTTTGTTGTATATTCATTACACCAGAATATTATGTCGTCAAACCAGAGGCCAGATTAACGAAGCTACCTTACGACGAAAAACGTGCGAACAAAAAAAAGTGAGAAATCCGTATTGTTCACGAAGCGAAATGATTGCGAGTTTTGCGCAAGTTACGAAGGAATGCCAAAACAACTCCCGAGCAGTCTCCTGCACTTTATTGCAGTCGAGATGTCCGCCCACGTCGCTCGGTCACTGGTATTTCGCTGCGACAAGCGACGGAACTTTTTCTAAATACACTTCGACTTCGGGCGCGTTCCGACTTGAGGTAGTGAGCAGAAAGAAAGAATTTCAACTACACGCCGAGGATTCCCAGAAGCAATCACAGGAACCACTGCGACCGTACCGACGGAGCGGACAAGGAGCCGAGCTCGTTCACGGGAAAGCCCTAGGCGCTCAATGCCTGCAGACCGTATGCCCTATCGCCCTGCTGAATGGAAGGACGGAAGGAACGCCCACACGACCTTCTTTTATTTTCTGTGAACTTTTCTCGTGTAAATAGCCTGAACAATGACCTCGAATGTATGGTTAGTAGTATATTTTGTCCCTCGTTAATCTCGGGGCGATGGGCTGGGGTGACCAACGTTCTCGGTCAACGACGCTCTCGTCAATTCAACCTTTTTTTTTTCTTTTTTTACGTAGAATTTAAATAAATGCCATGTGGATTACCCTTGCGACACATGATATGTACCATTTTATTTCTTGAGTGAGCGCGTCTTTTGTATTTAGACGTGACGATGGGGGATTCATCAACACAAATCGAGGGACAGACTGCTGGTTTAACACCACGGCTGAATGTCACGTCAACGTCGAGTTGCGACTGTCTTGCCTTCTCGTGGTTGACAAAAGCGGCTACAGACGCAATCTAATCGCTTGTCTCCAGCGCTTTAAGCGGCTGAAAAGGCTCAAGCGCCCTACAACTGGAAACTGCACAATATACCGTGTTTCTTGCTGGCACGAAACGTTCGTTTACGGAGATCGCGGCAGCTTCCTATACTCGAGAGCGCGAACAACGGCGCGGCAAGTTTATTCCGATGATTTGCGCCTTGCCAGCGAGCTGCGGGCCGTATCCTTTTCCAACGTACACTAAAAAGTGGCCGTCACTTTACAGCGATTTTCTTGTCAATTTTCACTACTCCTCGACTCCTCACCGTCAACGAAAAGACGTTGCGTTCGCCGTCAACGAGGGAAGGGGGAGAGCGACCAAGGAGCGAAGACACGCCAACACGCAATTGTTACAGCGCTGACGTTCCACGTTGAATACTATCGCTTTCAGGATAGTAACGGTCTGTAGAAAACAGAATTCATTTACTTTAAACTTGAGGGTACATAACGAAGCACGGCAGGCGCCGATTCGGTAGGCTGGGCGCGGGCCACAGATAATAGCTTCGATGACTGATAAATAAAACGCACCACCACCACGCTCCCTGCTACCCGCAACCATCAACCACGCGACGGTCACGTGCTGTGCGTTGGCCCGATAAGTGAGGAGGGTAAGGAGGAAATTGAGAAAGAGGCAAGGCGTCAAGTGAGCATAGCTTGTGGAAGCTACGCGGCTGACGTAATGGCCTCTCCTACCCTTCTAACCACCTTGGAAGAAAACAAACAAAATGCGCGCGGTAATAGAGTCTTCCGATTAGCTGCATCTGGTAAAACGGCATCCGACTACCAACCTATCGCAATCCGATCGCGCCTTGGTCCCCTGGGCGCCTGGCCAGCCTGGCGTCGTGACCGCGTTGCTAGGAGGCTTCCCCTCCTCACCGCTCCAGTGGCGCGGGTTACAGTGTACTCTCGAATCTAAAGCCTGCCCAAGTCTCGATGAAGTGTCTTTGTTCACATGCGGTCGCGTCATCGCCATTTTGTTTACCGTGCTCGAAGCGTGGGAAGCCAGATCGGGTTCACTAAGCGATGCCTGGCACGTAGCTTCAGTCACAAGCCAAGTGCATCCGCCCGATGAAGGTAAGTCTACCGTTTACATGCATTCGTTCGATGCTGCGTTTTGCGAGGCATGGGCCTGCTAGTTGAGAACGTGCATTACTTTTTCTCCTGTTTATGTCAGAGTTTTCTTGCTTTGTATTTGTGACATATCTGCGCGGTGGCGGTACCCGGTTCTCTGGGAGTGCAAACGGGCACGACATCGCAGCTTCGAGACGTTCTTGCGTAGAATTAGCGCTGCCTTTCGGCGTGTTGAGCTTGCGTCATTCCCAGCAACGGGTTCCTGTTGTTTCGCCGAAAAACATGATTTGTGTACTGCGAATGACGCCAGCTCATACAGGGTATGAGCTGGCGTCATTCGCAGCAACGGGTTCCTATTGTTTCGCCTAAAAACATGTTTTGTGGACTGCCGTTTCATGGACACGCGTTCGTCGACATTAACGTTCTATCGACACTCGCTACGCGAATTGAACAGTGTACACACTAAACGAAAATATACCCAGATGGGAGTAAATCGCTTGTCATATGGAGTTTTATATACCTTTGCGAAAAATTCCCATATGGGAGTTTTATATACCTTTGCGGATTGGAGTTCAGAGTTAACTCCTATGCAGGACAGAGTTTTTTGGGGGTTGGGGGGGTAGTACAGAACTCCCATCAGCACGGGAGTCTGTTCATGGATCAATGAGAGTATTTATTTACTTCCGTCAGAGTGTTCCTAGGTGGACCCATAAGAGTATTCTTTCACATCCCTATGGGAGTTTTTACGTGGACTCACGGGAATATTCCTTTACATCCACATGGGAGTTCTTACCTGGACCCACGGGTGTATTCTTTCACATCCATATGAGAGTTTTTTACGTGCATTTGTGGGACTATTCTTTCACAACCATTTGGGAGCTTCTACGTCCATTTATGGGATTATTTTTCACATCCATATGAGAGTTTTTATGTGCACTTGTAGGGTGACGTCGTCCGGGGTGATGGTTGGAGACGCCGGCGCGGCGCGAGCAAGTTCGGACGCGCGCGGTTGGGGGTGACACATGGGAGCGGGGAGGGCACGGACAGGAAATGGACAGAGGGGGCCAGGGAAAACTGGAAACCGATGAGGGACGGGGAGAGAGGGAGGCGAGCCAGGCGGAACGTGAAAAAAGACGACTCTCTTGGAGGGAAGCGAGTCGAAGGCGGAGGACGGGTTTTTGGGATGCGGGCAGCGAAGAACAAGAGAATGTGATCGCGACGTACGCGGTGAAACGTGAAAGCCAGCGCAAGAGCACAAGAGGACAGCGTGCATCGACGGACATCCGAGCAAGCCCGATTCGCCGCATCCTGAGCCTCCTCGGTTCAACCTGCCCGTCGAACCAGAGCCACGTTGATGACCGGTCCTTCCAAGTCCCTTCTCCCAAGGAACCCCTGCGACGGGACACCCAGAACACTCCGGGCGAGAGGTGAGCAAAAGGCGGCCCCAGCACCGATATTAACATTGAGATTATTCTGTTGAGACTAAATATCGTCTTCTCGCTTCTCTTCTCTTCAGCGTGGACCCACCACAAAGTATTTGTGCTACCCCTACTGGGGTCGTCACAATTGGTGGCAGCGGTGGGATCTCGTAGCTTAAATCGCTGAGGAAAACGGTGAGACCTTTTTGCCCTCACCCGACAGGAGAGGCGAGACGATGTCTCAGACACCGGTGGCTCCGCCGAATGCCCTGGGTGCAGGGATGTTGGCTCTGGGGGGTCTTGTTCCCTCGTTTACGGGCGACGGGACCACGGTATGCGTCAGGGAATTCTTTCAAATTCTAGAGCAAGTAGGTAGCATGGGGGGATGGCAAGATAGCCAACTCATTGGGATTGCTCGCTGCAAGATGGTCGGGTCCGCGTACGCCTTCGCATGGCAAGATGAGTGTGTGGCCGCGGTCACGACCTTTACGGCATTCAAAGCTTTGGCTTTTGAACGCTTTGACACTGAGCCCCAGAACGTGAAGCTCTCGAAATTCTTAGCGGCCAAACAGAATGCGGGGGAGGACGTGCGCGCGTTTGCCGGTCGATTGCGCGTACTGGGAAATGCCACCCTGGGAACGAACGCGTTAGAGGGTGCCCAAGAAAAACGGGAAATGCGGAGACAACTGCTCAGTTAACAGATGCTATCGCAGTTCGTCGGAGGACTTCGAGACCCTATTAGGAGGTTCACCCTTTCGCGGGACCCCGAGACGTTTGACGGGGCAATCGAGATCGTGGTGAAAGAAGAACGGAACGAACGCATCGTTAACGGTGGCACACTGCCGGTAGGCGGGTTGAGGAGCCCAATAAGGCTCAGGACGAAGTGCGCGAACGTTTGGACAGGCTCGAGAGGCTATTTGAACAGAGCTTGTCACTTCGCGGTGCGGCTGGAACCAGTCAGAGGCGTTCTCCACCGAGAACACCGCGAAAGACCAATTCTGGTTGTTTCGTATGTGGGACGTTTGGCCACTTCGCGCGGTCGTGCCCACATCGGCACCGCGACGGCCGAGCCGACATAAGGCAGATTGAGGATGGGGACCAGGGAGAAGCAGGAGATCACAGACCTCTGGGATCACGGGCTGCCCATCAGCCGGGAAACTAGAGCGGCCCCTCTCTAAAAACCGCAGAGAAGGGGCAGTAGAGGAGCTCGTGGTAAATGTTTGTGGAGAAACGAGCCCCATTGTTGCGTGCAAAATCGGTGGCGCCACGGTCCATTGCCTTATTGACACCGGGTCAAGGGTAAGCCTGGTAAAGAAGGGAACCCTAGACGCCATTCTAAAGGACTGGGAGAATGTCCTTCCGAAAAGGGACAGAGCGGGCAAGCTGGTGGGAATCACGTGACGGAATCACAGAGCGGGCAAGCTGGTGGGAATCACGTGACGTGAAAAAACGGCCTTCAACACGCCGTCGGGACATTACCATTGGACCAGGATGCCGATGGGGCTGGTGAACAGCGCGGCTGTATGGCAACGCACAGCCGATGTCGTGCTCGCAGGCCTGCTAGGTAAGATATGCTGTGTATATCTAGATGATATCATCATCTACAGCAACAGCCTAGAGGAGCATCTGGAGGACTTAAAGACTGTTTTCCAGAGGTTAAGGGCCGCTGGTCTCAAGCTCAAGCCGTCGAAGTGCCAGTTCCTGAAACCCGAGGTCAAATACCTGGGTCACATTGTGTCAGCAGAAGGCGTACGGCCGGACCCAGCTAAAATCGCGTGCGTTCGTGATTTTCCTGCACCCCAAAACAAGACGGAGGTGCGTCGGTTCCTAGGCCTCATGACCTACTACCGCCGACACGTGCCGCACTTCGCCGAAGTGGCACGGCCCTTAACGCAGCTCACCGGCAAGAAGCCGTTCGCATGGGGAACAGATGCCGGAGCGGCCTTCGAGGTCATGAAACAGAAATTGACGGAGGCGCCTATCCTTCGACTCCCGGACTTCTCTCGACCGTTCACACTGGCCACGGAATTCTGATGTTGCTACATTGTGATGTTCTTAAGTTTTCCCATTAATTCCAATGTGATAGAAAAATAACTCAAAAGGTTTTTATTATTCCTGCAAAGGGGAGAACGCTACTTAAAGGGATACTGAACCGAAATTTCGAACTCACTAAACAAGGCTGGGCGGATAGGTGGGAAGCTGCAAAACCAAAAAATATCACTCATACAGCGATATATCTAACGGATCGCCGCATATTTTGGAAAAGAAGTGCGCGATTGAACCCGGCCACGAGGCCAACGAGAAAAGGCACGTCACGATTTCCATTCTCTCTCCTCCGCGCAACGTCCCGTCAAGCTGGTGAACCGAAGCGAAAAAGAGAGAAGCGCGGCCGCTTCTCCTCCTTCTCAAATTCTCCCCGAGGACAGTTACGTCAAAGAACTCGCTTGATCGCGCCCTTCTTTTCCAGAAGTACGGCCATCCTTTTGAGACATTGATGTACGAGTGATGTTTTGGAGTTCGTAGCGTCCGGTTCAACACTTCTGCAGCCTTACTTTGTGAAATGCAAATTTCGGTTCAGTATCCCTTTAATGTTTGCACAAGTTGTTGACTTATAAAAATATTCCTAATTACGGTGTCCGTATTTTGTTTCTTGCATCATTCACAAGTGCGCATATCCATTGGAAGCTCTGTTAAGGTAGCTTGATGTACTAGGGTAGCGAATTGCGCGAGTTGGTTAACGTTATGCATGATAAGAGCAGCACACGACAGGACGAAGATTGATGTCTTGTGCTACAGCTCGCAATTTAAGATTAGTTCTGTACTAATGTGAGAAGCTATTGTTTCATATACTGTATATGTAGGGGATGTTTTAGAGCGCAGCTCTTAGGCGCCCGTTTCCGGCTTGAGCGGCGTCGCCGTCGGCGTAACCAAGGTCATCCCAAGGTCATGGGACCCCCAAGGTCACCCCGAGGTCACGTGACCCTCCCAAGGTCACCCGTCACGTGACCCCCCAGGTCACCCCAAGGTCCCGTGACCACCGAGGTCACCTCAAGGTAATGTGACCCCCAAGGTGACCCCCACATGACCCCCGAAGGTCACGTGGGCCCCCACACCGAGGTCACGTGACCCCCCCCCTCCCCCCACTCCAGTCACGCGACACCCCCCTCCTCCCCCCGAGGTCACGTGACCCCCTCCCCCCGAGGTCAGGTGACCCCCCGGAGCGTATTGAAGAATGAGGGGAGGAGGAGAAGGAGGAGGAGAAGGAGGAGGGGAGGGGTCTACCCTTCCTTCAGTACCCTTCCCTCCTCCTCCTCAAGGGCTGCGCTCCTATTCGGCGTTACAGGAAGTTGTAAACGGTTTTCACTTTTTTGACTGATTTATCACCAAGTAATTTGTTGAGCTCTTTTCTCACTGATAATCACCCTGAAGTACAATGTCTGTTCAATATATTATTATTTATCCTAATTGTACCTGCTACTGGAACGGTAATGTAGTTGCCGTTGCCATTGAACCATATGCAGTAGCACATCAATGATATGACTACATTTTAGCACGCAAGTAATGTCATGAAATATGATTCTACCAGGACATCAACAAAGGACCATGTTTGTAATGTGTCTCTCCACAACTTAAGCATACTGCATCTCACGGAAGGCAGTGTATTGAACCTATCCAGTCACAGATTCACGGTATTAAATGCGATGGTCACTGTTTACAGCAAGGCTGAGCAATATCGCGATAGAAATATACCGCGATAGTATCCTGAGATACTTTCAAGTGTCTGTATCTTTGTATCTAGATACATTGGAAAAATGTATTTGTATCTCAGTAGTGAAATACATTTAAGATGTATCGCGATGCTTTGCCGGACTTAGGTACTTCGGTATCTCGTTACATTTGTTCTTTTTAAGATAAATTTAAAAGATAAACATCTCTTTGGTGCAAGTTGCTTTATGATTTATAATATCAACCCACCCTATAACGTAATCCATATCAATGACCGACATTTAAAAAAAAACTATAGTTTAAAAAATGTTACGGGCAAGAATAATATAATCAGCACCTCTCACAAAGCCATCCACTCTTTCCAATTTAGCAGAGAGAATGCTGTGAAAAAGTTGAGTGGAGAAAAAGTATGGTCCTGTTGTTCAATCTCCTGACATTATGGGTTACTCTGAAGCTTATAATACGACAGATTGAGATGCGCCCTCACGGCAAAACAGGGTTCATTTCGGGCAGATGCCTTTTGTCAAGCATGGCACGCAGTCTTCACCATTCTGTAACTGTGTGGGTCAACGGGGGTGACATGTTTTCTTTAGCGGCCTTAATAATAAATAAGGAGCTTCAGGTAAGGGGGACAGCATAAAATGGCACAAAAAGGGTGCAGAAGCGTAAATTATCATTCATATTTCCCGCAAACTACACCACCTCCCCCAGCCCCCAGCCCGCCTCCTCCCCCCCCCCCCTTTCCCACCTAGCACCGTTCGCGAACAAATGTATATCTATAAGTATCTGTATCTGTATTCCTGAATACTTTTTGCCGGTTTTGCAGAAGTATCTTGGGAATACCTATTGCATAAAAGAAATGTATCTCAGCATCTGTATTTTGCGCGTGAAGAAAACATGTATCTCAGTATTTGTATTCCAGAATTTTTTTTTGGAGTATCTCTGCCCAGCCCTGGTTTACATCACATTGATTCATTCTGTCATTCTTATTCTTTTCCGGGTACTTAAGGTAAATCAACCCATCTGAAGGGCGAGGCAAAGCTACAACCAGCAGCATCGTCCCGAAGTTGCAACCAGCGGCATCATCCCGAAGGAGTCGTTCAATTGCTTTGACACCTGTGAGTGTTCTGTCTATCAATTATACTCCGTGTCACTAGTTGTGTGCAGTGCAGGCGAAGGCAACGCCAGACGAAGAGAGAAAAGGTGAGCACTAGGAAGGTGGAAGGGAGAGAAGGAAAACACTAGGAATGTTAGATAGGAAAGGAGGTTACTCTCCTCACTCGCCTTTTTAGTGCTTGCCGTTTCCTTAAAAAAATAGGAACAGCGTTCAAAAAGACGAGGACAACGAGAGTAATCCACACGACGAGCGCTGACTATCAACTAACGTTTTACTAAAAGCGGCTCAAACAAGAAAAACACCACGAAGCCAACCAGTGGCTTGTCGCTCACCAGGCATCTATAAAATCTATCTCTTTTGTGTAAATAAATTGAAAGCTGGCTGACGCTGCGCCCCGAGCCAACTTTTTCTATTGCATGTGCCTCCAGCACCTCTCCTTGCACTTTTCTGTGCCCCGTGCCAATGATTATGGTATCTTCGAAGATAGGGTGACACAGACAGCCTTAGCAATGTACGTACAAGTGACCTCTGGTGATTGACCGTCAGGAAAAGACATGCTCACGCATACTGTCATTGACACAGCGTCCCGATTGTCGTATATGATCCCGGCCGCCTGACAATGGGATTTTGTAGATTGCACTTACCACCCAATCTACAAACTTGTTGGTATGTTTAAGCATGCAAGACCACTTGTTACTGTTTGCCTTATTGGCCTGGTTTACGCGCGGGCAAAGTTGTGCCAACTCGCGAGGCGCCGAGAACACCATTGGCACATTGAGCCGGTTAGCCACTTTTTTTTAATTATGTGAAGCCTTATGTAGATATGGGATCACCTGGGGCCTTTGTTTAGGCTTTCGTTTTGGGTCCTGAGAACCACTGTCGATTCTTTTCAAAAGTGTGTGAGAGACACCAAGCAAAAAGAACAGAGGAAACCCTGCTCTTAAAAGTCGCTTGACCTGGGCTTCTTAGCTGTCAAAGATGGCATGGTGGCACGACCTGTACAGTGTTGCCTGGTGGCACGACGTGGCAATGTTTCGTTTCACAAGTTTGGAATGGGCAGAGTCGTATGGCAGGAACTTGTGAAACAAAATATTGGCACGTCACCCCTCCAGGCTGCATTGTATACAGGTCTTGCCACCACGCCATGCTTGACAGCTATGAAGCCCAGGTCAAGCGACTTTTAAAAGCAAGGTTTCCTTTGTCCATTTTGATTGGTGTCTCTCAGACACCCTTGCAAAGAGTCAAGAGTGGTTCTCAGGACCCAAAAGTAAAGCATAAACAAAGGCCCCAGGTGACCTCCTATCTACATAAGGCTTCACATAACTTGAAAAAATGACTAACCGGTTCAATGTGCCAATACATGTACTCGGCACCTCGCAAGTTGGCACAGCTTTGCCCGCTCGTAAACCAGGCCAAATCAGGCAAACAGTAACAAGCGGTCATGCCTGGTTTAACATGCCAACAAGTTTGTAGATTTTGTGGCAGTTGTCATCGACCAAATGCCGTTGTCATGCCGCCAGGTTTATATAGGGAAATCGGGACGCTGTCTCAATGAGGAATGCTTGAGCATGCCCTTTTCTTACGGTCAATGACCGGAGGTTATTTGTACGTACACTGCTAAGACTGTCTCTGTCACCCTATCTTCGAAGATACCATAATCATTAGCAGGGGGCGTACAAAAGTGCAAAGAGAGGTGCTGGAGAAGCATGCATTAGAAAAAGCCGGCTCGGTGCACTGCGTACGCTATAGCCTTCAATTTATCTACACAAAAATAGATAGATTTTATAAACGCCTGGTGAGCGACACGCCATTGGTTGTTACCCATTGGTTGTTGCGGCGTTGGTTGGCTTTTGTTGTTTGAGCCGTTTTTATTAAATCTTCAGTTGGCTGTCAGTGCTCATCCTCTGCTGTACTCTCGTTTTCCTCGTCTTGTTGCGCGCAGTTCGTGATTTCTTAAAGTCATGAACCAACTTACCTGCATTGACACCTTAAATTTGCCTTTTCCCCTTGCCGGTCATTGCCTTCGCTTGTACTGCGTGCAACTAGTGACTCGGACTATAGTCCCTATTATGCAGATTATGATGCTCTGGCAGATAATAGATAACTGTGGGTAAAATTAATCTGTTCACTGCCTGGACACGCAGCGCACAACTTGCTTGGACACGGCCCACAGGAAACCGGCTGCAAGCCCTCGTTTTCGTAACGAGCATTACAAATGGCATCCATTATACATGCCTTGCATCTACGTCACATGATGACGTCGAACAGCGCTATCCACCATGCTGGTGGTTGACTCGACGGCCCTTCGCAGCGAGAGCAATGGTAAACTGCGCCGCGCTCGGCTGTAGCAATTACTCCGAATCCCGACGATCGTTCGATCGTTTTGTCGGCGTGCCCCGCGGGGCAGAGTAGTCGTCAAGTCAGAGATAGTACGACCGGCAGGAAAGGGATGCGGCCGCGGATTATTGAGTTTCCGGGACTCATTTGACAGCGGCGAGCGACGATACTTTTATACCCTTGTTTCCCTTCGCGCACACCTTTGCATCGGCGTTTGCTCGTTCGTGGTGTATATGGCCTTTTGCCTTCGTTACGTAGCGCCTTTTCCATGCTTGGAGCGCACCTTCGGGGCTCCCGGCCGAGTCTGGGCGAGTGTCGCGCCGCGAGCACGGCCAGACGGATCGGTCGGCGGTGGCCCCGTGTGCATGCTCGTCGAGACGCCGCCACTGAGGCATCGGTTTGTGCCGTCCGCGAGACGGTAACCTTTGCAAGGAGCGAAAGTATGCAAACGAGCCGGTTAGGAAACATAATATAAACCCTGAGACAATGAGAGTTGTCTTTTCGGTCATTTGATTTATCCTTGTCTCAGGGCTTAAATTATGACGGTTTACAAGTATTTCGGAAAATCGTAACAATTTTTCTACAAGCGACTTCTAGAGCCGCTTGTCAAATTATGGGGCGCGCAATTAAGTTTTTTTTTTTTTTTTTTTTCTGGTGACACGGCAGCCCTTCCCGTAAAAACTTCGTCGGTGGCAAGTTTCGAAACTTTCTGCTCGTAGCGCAATCGCACCAATGCCGAAAAATTCCGCACGTACTGGATAAACGGCATCATCGTAAGCTCAGCACGTTTTTCCAAGTTATGTGTAATACAACTATTGGCACCTTTGTTGAAAATATTGTGCATGTTAGCGCATGTCCGGGCCGTTAGCGGCATCTATATGCTTGGTAAGCGCGTCCGCGCGGTGTGAAGTCAACCACCAGTATGGTGCGAGGCCCCGTCCTTCCCTAGCGTGACGTCACTTGAAAGGCATGTATAATGATCTCATGGCGCCAATTCATTTCCCCTCGAAACGTAGCTTTGCTCTTATATCATATTTACGTAGTTTATATTGTTCCGTTTTCATTTGCCAAGTATTTCGTTTCTATTTGTCCTTCATGTCTTTTTGTAGGATCTAGCACCTGTATGGACATTTCATGTTCTCAAACTGGTGCTATCAAAAATCCTCAGAAAAACAAGAACTGTCGAATGAAGACTTCCTTTCGAGACATCTCGAGCTTGAATAATTCTCGAGTGAAGTAAGCAACGGGAATGGCAGTGTACTTGCTCTCTCGTCCTCTTAAAAATGCCAGTACATTTGCGGCAGTAACATTTTAATTCTTGTGATTTCATCTCGGAAGGGCCAAAAGGAGTGCTACAAACGAATCACAGCAAAAAATGCCGCTGTCGAAATTGCAAGTTACAAAAAGCAGAGAGCACAACGTCCCTTTAACAAATTTCTTGACCCTCCAGCCCCCGTGCCTTACATTGGCCCTCGATGTTTTGGGGGAGACCCCCATGTTCAAATGATTTTGAGAACACTGTTTTAGGTGGTCCAAAATTTTGTATGAACGAAGCTTGCAGTAGGACACAACTAATGTTTGCATTAGTTTATTTGCTTTGGCAGTTACTGAAAACAAGGTTGCTTGTGGCATTTTGCAGCTAATTGTGTGTTTTATTACTAAAAATAGAAACAGTTGCAATAAGAAACAGCCTGGGCATTCTTGAAAACCCCAAGATCAGTTATGTTTGAATATATTGGGAACATGCTTTGTTTTTGTTTTTTATTATCTGTGTTTTCAGTTTGCCAGCTTTGCACCTGTATCAAAATTGGCAACTTTTGCACCCAACTATGCTTCAACGGTGCTCAATTTTTTTTTTTTTTAATTTGGCTGATTTATGGGTTTTTGATAGTGCTCATTAAGTAAGGTGTGGGGCCTTCACAGTGCCCTTTATGTGTCTAATCATGGTATATAATGATGTGTAGCTTTTCAGGAATGCTCCATTGCTCTTGGTGGTCAACACCCAAGACACAAAACTAAAAGGGCGAGAGATGAGACATGCAAAAAGTAGAAGAAAAAACAAGCGACGGTTTCTGGCGCATGCCTTTCGTCAGACCACAAAGCGATCCGCAAGTTTAATGTGTATTTTTGTAATTTATGTTTCATCCAGTGTTTATGAGCAATAAATATGTAGGAACAAATGCCAATTTTTGTACGTCTTTTTATAAAATATTGCATGATCCTGACAACATTATATTGAGAGGAATAACAAAAGATAGAGGCAAGCTGTCGGACTTACAACATTGTGCATACCCGTCATCAAGGAACAGGAAGGGAGGACAGAAACAACAATTGAGATTGTTGTTTGTGTCCGTCTTTTTATTTGATCTCGGGCTTTTACTGTTTTGAACTTTGCTTTGACGTCGCGCTTGGCCTCTGTGCAGTCTAGATTAATTTTGTCTATCACCCTTTGATTTCTAGCATTGAAAAATTCAACGAGATGATGGTGAAGCAAGCCTACCACGACACACACTACGATAAAACAAAATTACGATGACACAGGACATCACGGTATGGTACTAGTGTCAAGTGATTCACAAATACAATAAAATGGCATATAATGGTATAACTCAGTGTCGCTGCATTTACTCCATTCATCCATAAGCTGAGACTCTGGTGGAAGCTATACGTCTTCGGACCAGTCAGACGCCTCCCTTTCTCCCCGTGATCATGCTCTCGCCCAAATCCACGCGCAGAGAGCAGGTTCGGGTGGTGAAAGGGACGCGGCCGATTGGTCCCACCAGCCCGTAGCTCCGACAGCATGAGCCTGCTGTGGGAGCTACGGGCCGGTGGGACCAATTGGCCCACCGTTTTATGGATGAACAAAGTGCGTATAAGTTTTGTCGACTTCACATATGTACAAAGATGAGGTGTATCGGTATTCCCAGTAAGTGGAAAACGGAATGTATGTACAGCTAATAATGGGGTTTAACTGCATTCCCAATAAGTGAAGAGGGTGTGAAAAAAAGAATATATGTACACCTAAGAATGGGGTGTATCAATATTCCAATCAAGGAGAAGAGTGTCGAAAACGGAATATATGTAAACCTAAAAATGGGGTGTAACGCTATTCCGAGTACGTGAGGAGTGTGTGGAAAGCGGAATACATGTACACCTAGGAATGGGGTTTATCGGTATTTCCAGTAATTGAGGGGAGTGTAAAATGAAATATGTGTACACCCCATGGTGGGGTGTGTCTGTATACATGGGGAAGTAGGGAAGGGTGCACATATGCACCCCAAAATGAGGTGGATGTGTGAACCCCTTTTTGGGGTGTAGCAGATATACCCATGGGATTGTCCTATATGGGACAAGTCACATACACCCCAATGGGTGGCGGTACTAGACACTCTTTTTTGAGAGTCTTGTTACAAATGGAAGTAGTTCTGCTATTGCGTCATTCTTCCCTCCACAGTGTCGGCATGCGCGGAAATTTGTGTCCGTGCTACTTCGTATGTAAAGCTATCTGTCGGAATTCGTGAGGTTCTCGTTAGTGCAGGATTCTAACCTAGGCACAAGAGTCGTACTAACCGACAAATTAAAATAAAGAGGTCCTGTAAAACGAGTTGCGAGCAGAACACAAACCTGTCGCATTTCTATTAATTCGTTTTACAGGAGTTTCCGGTTTCATTGTTGCACGTACTATGGCTTGTTAACCTACTCGTTTCTATTTTTGAGTAATATAGAGGTATTTCGCGTTTATCAAGCATGTGTAGTATATTAAAAGGATGAATTCCTCATTCAATACAAATATACTAAGCACGGCCAAAGGATGGCTGAAAAATAAACTTGGGGCGCGCCACATGTACACCGCGAGTACACTCTATATCGACCAACTTAACACAGAAATATCACAAAAAATATGGGTACTAAGTTCGGCAGAAGTACACTAGAACTATGCTGTTTTTTTCCTAAGGGTATGTACGCGCAACGTCCGCTGCCGGGCGGCTCAAGGACCGCCCGTTGCCATGTGTGACGACGCAGCGTCCTCTTCAAAGGACAGCCAATCTGACGCGAGCGGCCGTGCAAAGCCGCATATTGCCATCCGTTTGCAGATACGCGTCCCGGACCGATTACAATTTTCCGCCAGCGAGTGAGCGGATTTCGCCACGCGGCTTGAAATTCATCCCGTTGCCGGCGCACATCCACAATGGAGTTTTTAGGTGTGAATACACCATTCGAGTGCATGCTATCTCTCGGCTGTCTTTTCCGAATGTGGGGTGGTTGCCGAAACGCCGCAACGTGTCACGGCCAGCATCATATATAAAGGGCAACTCCCGTCAATTCCTAAAATTCTGGGATTCCGGATGATTATCCTACCAAGACTACTAATAGGCAGTTCTATGTCACTCGGTTTCCGAAAGGTTAAACAATTTTCTTGCAAACCTTGTTCAAACGAAAATTATAAAGCGAAACGGAAACCTTGCCCTTGGCATGCAACATCGGTCCTGCTTGTCAACTCCACGTGGTACAGAGACGTAGGCTATGTCGTCAACGAAAGTGGCGGACATCAACACCGCCTACAAGCTATACGGCCGTAGTGCTCTTCTCGTGACGTCGCAACGGAAGGCCATTGGGGCGCGTGGCGAAGCGAAGGCAACGCTTGTGGAGCGACCGTCGTAACGGGCTTTTTGTCACGTAAGCGTGTATCATTAGATAAAATGAAAGCCGCACGAAACAACGGGGCTAGAAAACATTTTATTACACGGGCAGAAGATTGCACCGCTAAATATTCGCTATGAAATGGCACGAAGTATGACAGAAAAATATGATTGTTTTAAGTCGAAAACGTTGAGACACGTAATTATTGCTCTAGGAATGCATATTTTATGCAGAATTCCTTAGACCAAAGGACGAGACATGCAGTGATTGGGCTCAGCAAAATGAATCACAGTAAATATCAGGTAGACGTTGTCTACACGGACACGGCTAGATAAGTGACACAATCATTTAAGCGATGTTAACGCATGCAGTCACTGAATTCTCGCATTTTACACCCGCCACATGGCAAACTTATTGCAATTTTGATCGAATTACATTATGGGGGCCTGCAAATCAGCTCGCGAGCTGATTCAACCCCATATCACGCGATGAAGGTATATTAACTTTTCCGTATGGCAGGGGTATTAAACTTACTATTTCTAGTTAACTCACCTAAACCTTCCTATGCGCTCGAGCTGCCTTAGATCAAAATATACTTTTATTTCTGTAAAATATGACTATTACATTAATACCCCTGTGAGACGGCGTTCTTAAGCTCCTCTTCACTAAGCTAGGTTATAAAATCAGCCAGTCAGCTCGTGATGTTGAGTGCGCACATGCCCCACGGCGTGCGCCGGTGCACCAATTTTGTAAAGGAGCTTGTTCTAAAGGCATTTAAAATGCGCGTCTGACAGGGGTAGAATACAGCTAAGAGCTATGAACGCGGTAAAGGCCATAAAACAACATTAGCATAAATGAACACATAAGCACCAACAACGCACATTGAATGCTCACACATAAACTTGTTGTCCACTTTCTGTGAAATCTTGATTGTTACCACACACATTTACAAAGGTCGACGCAATCGCACAAGGGTAGCGACGAAGCGCGTGATTTCATTATCTCACGAGAATAAAAGCGATCGACTGCAGCACGCTATTCGCGTTCTATATAATCAAAAGAGCCTGTAAAACAGTTGCTTCTCACCTGACGATCGTATCCATACGTCCCGCAAGATCCACTACCTAACAAAGTGAACACGACCTCCAAAAAATATCTATCTTTGCCGAGAAACCGGTCTATCGATAATCGACCAGTGCCATCGTTGACTAGTTGTCACACATGTCACTCACATCGCAGCAGGACTTGTTCCGTGAATCCGCGTAAATGTTGTAGTATCAAGTGAACACAAAATAACCACACGAGAGCAGTGGCAGAAGCGGACGGAGGATTATACGTGGGACAAAAGGCTTTGCTTAAATAATCTGGGAGTTGGTGTGTTGACCTTTCTGAAGTAGAGAAGAAAACAAAAACGCTTTTGCCTGCATGTCCTAGGTTTTATTTTTAAAAAAATGACGAAAATTGAGGTTTTCGACACGTCCCAACTCCTTCACCATCTCCGAGTCCCTTGCGCTGTGACGTGAAAGGGGGACGCGCGGGGTTCCGGTGAAGCTCTCCCTCTAGAGCCACCAATGACCCATCAACGTTTTATATTACTTGTATATCACAAATATAATAAACTTTACAAGACTGCGCATTTAAGACGTATATTAAAGCGCACGAGCAAACCTCGTGACCGGAGTGAGCAGGCGACGCGGCCTGGGTAAAGGCGCGTTCACACCGGCGGTGCGATCTAGTTGCGCGATACCTTTCATCGCAAGAGCGTCCATCGCGAAAAAAAGCGATGCGATTTGAGCAGTCGCTAGCTGACCCGAGTTTTTTCGGTCTGATCTAGTCCCGGAGCGGCTTAACCAATCAGCGCCGTTCGGAGCGAGAGTTTTCGCGAAGAGACTCGCTCATCGCGCACACCAGTGTGACCGTCTGATGTTTTTACGATGCGATCTAGTCGCATCGCGCGACTGCTTTACATTGCCGGTGGGAACGTGTTTTAAAGGGAACCAGAGAGGGTGCCTTTCACGACGTGGCCTCTCTTCTCCGGCCGTTTTGGTGTCACAACTCGGAGCACTACGGCCATACCTTAAAATGTTGCCCGAAGTCTCGTTTCTTTTTCTCTCGCCCCTGCACTCCGGCCGCCTCGAAAAGTAAGAAAAAAATGATATATATATATATATATATATATATATATATATATATTTCGGGTGTTCACGTTTCGCGCAATGCTGGCTGTGTTCACACACCGGCGTTGACTACGCTACTCCGCGCGTCGTGCGTCGTACGCTAAAGTGGGCGGATTTCGGTGAACGTAAAGATGTTCCAATTTCGTTGGCCGATTTAATAAACTTTTAGGCTGAATTGCGTCGTAATACTTTACGTGGAGGCTTTCAGATATTACGACGTAGGACAGCGTTGTTTTTTCAGCATCGAAATTTCACCGGAGTTGTCCTTTAACAGGACTGGATACCTACTGTGTTTTCAAAAGAGAGAACAACCAGCCGGTGTAAGGGAATCTAGCGTCGCTAACTGTCACCTAAGAGCATAT